ATATATATAACATCACTAACATCACTGAAGAGACATTAATTGTCGAAATCTGGATATGGTGTACAAATTTCACCTCATGTTTGCGGTGTACCATCTTCTCTGCAAGTTTATTGTTTTCTGTTTGGTATCAAATTAAATATAAGATCCATGTTAATTCTGGTGATCAATTTATTTGGCAATCGTCAATGACAGTCAGCAGGGTTTAAGAACATCAGTTGTTCGACCTGTTAGTCAAATGCGTTATGTTAAAATATACTTTTCACTTTTTTTGGTCTTTTGGAAAATGTTGTTTGTGCTGTATTTAGACCCCTCTACCAAGAAATTTGTTTTACATGCACACGTATAAAAATTGCGGTTTTTATCCAACGCAATCATAGGTTTGAACGTGGTTTTCAATTTAGAAACGTTTATATTTTTTCGTTTGGGCTTGTATTATATTTTCCTTCGGGTTTATATGATCCGTTCATCCTATTTCGACTCTTTAAAATACAAGAGTCTATCCTAAATTGAGGTAAATTATATGGCCTTCAAATACCGTTTCGATCCCTAACATCACTGAAGAGACATTAATTGTCGAAATCCGGATATGGTGTACAAATTTCACCTCATGTTTGCGGTATACCATCTTCTCCGCAAGTTTATTGTTTTCTGTTTGGTATTAAATTAAATATAAGATCCATGTTACATCTGGTGGTCAATTTATTTGGCAATCGTCAATGACAGTCAGCAGGGTTTAAGAACATCAGTCGTTCGACCTGTTAGTCAAATGCGTTTTGTTAAAATATACTTTTCACTTTTTTGGTCTTTTGGAAAATGTTGTTTGTGCTGTATTTAGACCCATCTACCAAGACATTTGTTTTACATGCACACGTATAAAAATTGCGGTTTTTGTCCAACGCAATCATAGGTTTGAACGTTGTTTTCAATTTAGACTTGTTTATATTTTTTCGTTTGGGCTTGTATTATATTTGCCTTCGGGTTTATATGATCCGTTAATCCTATTTTGACTCTTTCCAAATTTAAGAGTCTATCCTAAATTGAGGTAAATTATATGGCCTTCCAAATACCGTTTCGATTCCTAACATCACTGAAGAGACATTAATTGTCGAAATCCGGATATGGTGTACAAAAACCTTTGCACCTTTTGCTTGCGGTATACCATCTTTTCCGCAATTTTATTGTTTTCTGTTTAGTATTTAATTTATAATTAAGATCCATTTATTACATCGGTGATCCGTTTATTTGGCAATCGCCAATGACAGTCAGCAGGGTTTAAGAACATCAGTTGTTCGACCTGCTAGTCAAATGCGTTTTGTTAAAATATACTTTTTCACTCATTTGGTCTTTTAGAAAATGTTGTTTGTGCTGTATTTAGACCCCTCTACCAAGAAATTTGTTTTGCATGCACACGTATAAAAATTGCGGTTTTTATCCAACGCAATCATAGGTTTGAACGTTGTTTTCAATTTAGACTTGTTTATATATATATATATATATATATATATATATATATATATATATATATATTCATAAAATATATAGAAAGATAAGTAAACAAGTTAACAATTTAATCGATTTCATCCTTCCATTGGGACTCTTCAGGATAACCGAATTAGCGTCGTTTCACTTTTTTGTTATTCTGGAAAATGTTGTTTGTGCTGTATGTAGACCCCTCTACCTAGAAATTTGTTTTGCATGCACACGTATGAAAATTGCGGTTTTTATCCAACGCAATCATAGGTTTGTACGTTATTTTAAAGTTAGACTTATATATATAAATGATATATATAAATAGAAAAGTACAATTAACAAAAATAACAAACCTTAAAGGAAATGCAAAATGGAAAGTCCCTTAAAAGGGGACGAAAGATACCAGAGGGAACGTTTGACAAAATGGGCCCATTGCGGTAAGACGTAATTCGGCTTTGACGTTGCAAAGTTAACGTTGTCGAGTACTCGTAAAAAAGTGTTCGCTGCCTAAAACAATGTTACTTTTCTAATTATAGCACTTGTACATCTTACCCTGTTTTCGTATGTCGTAATTGTCTGTATATATCAAAGTCCGCAATATTTATTTTACTCCTCAAAATCAACAAAGATCTCTAACAACAACAAAAAAATGAGAGACAAATTGCTGTATTACCATTGGACTCTGCTTTTATTTCATTGATATAGTGATCACTACCATCAAAAATACATGTTAAATTATATGATTTTTATGTATAAGAAAACAGTCCTCAAAATAGTTTTTAATTACATTCATTCACCGAATAGGCTTCTACATGTACAAACGCAATTTTTTTTTAATGCTATTCCTTTGAACTTGTAGGTTACAAATTTAATGACAACATTTCAAATGTATAAATTAAAGTAACAGGTAAACTGTAAAAATTGCACATCTGATAGTGACATACTTTTCTAACGAAACGTTTTTTATAGGCAGGTGTACTGAATATAAAATATACACACATAAGTTTACATTATATGTTGTATAGAATTATTGCAAAAAAAAAAAAACGGCAACCCTAGCGAAGTGCAAACAGAAACTGAATACACCTTGTTAAAAATTAATGTCTGTCTCACAAGCTTTCCCATTCGTAAACTTAATTAATATCATTCATTATCAAATGATAAATAATAGGAAGATTCTTGCATTGAAGTTTCCAAATGGTAAAGAAGATGTCTATCCGTCGAAAGGCACAACGATTTGATCAAATTATTTGGACTACCTCTCAAAGGCTATCACGAATAATCATAACCACAGTTCTTGTTTTTTTTTCTTCTTCAAATAGGACAACACCGAATACTAGGAACTGATTAGGTAACACTTCAGGAACATTCAGTTAGTATTTCCTGTCTATACGTCGTCTGAAATCATGTTTAATGTTTTTGTTTAATTTTTGTTTTAGCTTGTGCATTCTCGTTGCCCCGCTAAGCATGTTCTATCTTTGTTAATCATGATTGCTTTCATTACTGGTATATGAACCATAACCAATAAGACACCTTTTTTGATTATTTGTTTATTTATTTAAACTTCAAAGCACGAAGAAAAGACTTGTCTTACATATCTTTAATTGTGTTTATCGCGTCAACACAAACGTGCTAGATAAAGGCAACAGTAGTATACCGCTGTTCGAAATTCATAAATCAATTGAGAAAAAAACAAATCCGGGTTACAAACTAAAACTGAGGGAAACACATCAAATATAAGAGGAGAACTACGACACAACAGAAACACAACATTACAATGTAACACACACAGAAACGAACTATAATATAACAATGGCCATTTTCCTGACTTACTACAGGACATTTTAAGAAAAAAATGGTGGGTTGAACCTGGTTTTGTGGCTAGCCAAACCTCCCGCTTTTATGGCAATGTTAAATATTACACTAAAATGACATCATTACATGACAGGATTACAATACAAATAAATGGAAGAACATGCAGGACAGAGAAATAAACAAAAACGACAATGCAGCACTCACAAAAACAAACTATATGATAACGATTGCCATTTTCCTGATTTGGTACAGGACACTTTTTTTAGAAATAAATAGTGGGTTGAACCTGGTTTTGTGGCTAGCCAAACCTCCCGCTTTTATGGAATGTTAAATATAATATTAACATGACAACATTACATGACAGGACTACAATACAAATAAATGGGAGAACATATAGGACAGAGAAACATACGAATAATAGCTAACAAAAGGTACCAGGTTTAAAACTTAATACGCAAGACGCGCGTTTCGTCCACACAAGACTAACCAGTGACGCTCAGATCAAAAAAGTACGAAAACCAAACAAGTACAAAGTTGAAGAACATTGAGGACCAAAAGTTTCAAAAAGTTGTGCCAAATACGGCAAAGGTTATATGTCTGGGATAAGAACATCCTAAGTACTTAGAATAATTCATACTTTTATAAACAGTTAATTTATAAAAATGACTATATAATAGATATACATGATAACACCGAAGTGGTGACTAACTACAGAAAAAAAAACGGATACATAAAACAACTTAAACCAGCACATAAAAATTCACAGCAGAGTTATCCAAAGAGATTAACCTACAAAAACCGTGACGTCACATTTGAATTTCTGAAATTTCCCCGAAATATAAGTTGAAAATGTTGTCGACCTCAGGTTTTTTGGTTTACAATGTGTACTACTAATTAAGCCTCTATCGTTACATTTTACTTTATAATTGCACAATTAAACGAGTATGCATGTTCTTCTTCTGATAGTAGTATTCAAAATCTTGTAATGTTATCCTGAAAGGTAAACAAATCATATGCCTCATTTTTAAATGTATATGGGACTACACATAAGCTACTATCAGTAATACTTTATGTACCAATTTTTTTAAGAAACTTTTTCTGTTGGTTTACTTCTTTTTTTCGTTGATTACGTGCTGTAATTTCTACTGCTATTAGTGAATAGAATAAATGGAAACATATGCATTTACATAAATCAATTGATCTACCTTACCATTTTTATGTTTGGTGATGATTCAGAATGAACATATTTGATTTTGTAAATGTTGCCCTTTTTTTCGTTTTGAATGTTGATTTGACTATAGCTAATAGTCTTTTACGGTTTTGTTTGTCCATGCCAATTTAAAATCTTCTGTAATTTAGGAGTAAATTTCGAAACTTGTTGGTTGTTTTGTAAGTCTTATTCAAATGAAGAGTTACATTTGGTAACGAGTGACTTTTGCAATATTTTACAATTCCGTTTAATTTTAAACAATCAACCATACAAACAAATTGTGGATATCATAACCTGGGGTGAACCATGCATTTTGATATTTAACGTAATACAAACATTAAATAGTCTTGTATGGACATTTAGACAATTCCATGTAATAGAGTATCAACGAAAATACGTAGTTTTCTCGATCCCCTGAAATGTGTGCCCTTGAAAATATAAAGAACCACTGTGTAAACATTTAAAACCACATATGATATTTCATCAATTGTAAAACTTACCGAAATGGTAATATATATAGTCTTTTACTGCGATACAGTATGCATCGTCAGTTTGGCATTTGCATATGAGTAGGGTGATGGCAAGTTTTGTGCAGATTGTTGAGCATAAGACAGATTTGTAGAAGCAATTACGACACTCTTACCATCCGATCCTACAATAAATTTCTATTTCTATATCTAACTATACATTATCGCATACAAATGCAGCTATTTGATATGAACATTTAAGTTAAGTGTAAATTTTTAAGCAATATGTTGATAACTCAAACTGTGAAACATTTGATATGTAACATGTGTAACCGAGTTGTATATTGATAGTAAAATAGCATGCGAGTATTGATATTGTCGGATTGAATTCCCTGAACTGAAACATTTACAGTCTAAGAAGATAAAGTATTTACAGTATTTGATTATGGAAATTATATCGATTACTTATGAAAAGTGATTATAACCTAATTTTAGTAAACAACTTAGGTCAATTATTACCGAGAAAAATGTAACGTATCACTTATCAGTTTGTTGTGTTCATATTACTGATGTAGTTCTCCTCTTATATTTGATGGCAAACATTATCAACTATCCATTTATGTTATCGTTGTTTGCAGCGAGTTTTATTAGATGACAGTTTGTGTCATCAACATATTGCTTAAAAATTTACACTTAACTCAAACATTTATCGATTACAGAGAGGTCATCTGAATCCCGCCTCAAGATGCAGGATTTTCTTCCTGTGTTAAAGACCCTTGCTGGCGTCTCGCTGTTTTCTGCTCTTTGATCGGGTTGTTGTCTCTTTGATACATTCTCCATGTCCATTCTCAATTTAACAAAATGATTATCACAGTTTATTAATTGAAATGAAGCATGTTAATACTTCATTGACCTATATGTCTATTGTTTGTAAAAGCAATTTGTGTTGTATAGTTTTCACAGCATTTTGACAATCTGAGGACATATTCGACTCCGATTATCCAATACAAGTGACCATGAAGTAAGGAGCTCATGTGTGGAAGGCAGATCATACTTCACTGTCGAGATTTGTCGTATTGCTCATATCAAATTAATGTCAGTTATTATGTGTCAATGTCTGTTTTCAGAAATGACGAAAGAAGGATTAAAGGAGGGTGTGATTGTTGCTCAGTCATTTGTACATATTCGTAGTTATCAGTAAAACGGATAGTGCATGACAGTCTTTATAACTTCTTTAGCATTTCTTTAAACACTTAGATCATATTATCACAACTTAAAAATAAATCTAAATCATGCCGGAGCGAATCAAAATAGTTATCTAAAATTGAGAAGTGTATCATGAATATTCTTTGATGTAAACAAGCAAATCACAACTATTACTTAACAATTTAGCATTACCGTTAATGAAAACAATTGGGTGTCCAGTCGGTTGTTGTAAATTGTGATCAACACCGTTGTTAATTCCTGTGTTATTATTTGTCAAATTCAGACGCACACGTCTTATCAATGCATACAGTATAACCAATATAACAATAAAAACTGCTGCTGCTCCTAGTGCAATTGCTGCTCCAGTTGGTAATGTTCTAAAATAAATTACAATGTTGGCGTTTGCAATAGTTATTCTTCAAATACTACATGTACTAGTTATCACACAATTAAGATTACTTTTAAAAAAAAACTGTTTCTTAAAAAGATCCATGTTGAGCTATATGCAATGCTGTAATTGAAAACATATTTGAAAGATGTAAACATTTACAGAGTTGATATGAATTTTGATAAAGGTACACATAAAAACAACACAAAGATAACTTCAAAACAAAATTATAACCCTGGTTTACCAAAATTTAAAAAAAAAGATGAAATGTTTACATTAGACGAAAACAGCATTTGCTTGATGAAATTATTCAACGTGTTTTTTTCAATTTTTTACATCACTAGGTCGATACCTCTGCTGGTGGACTATCAGTCCCCGAGGGTATCATCAGCTCAGTAGTCAGAACTTCGGTACTGACATGATTTATAACAGACCCTTCTAAATTATCCGTTAATAACTTTTGAAATTATAAAGAAACTAAGGTTTCAACTCCCTCAGGCAACGTTGACCTTAGATGAATTTGGCTATTTGTTTTAGGTGTTTTTAGTCATATAGCTCTTCAACTGTTTCGGTACTTATACACCCCTCGGATTTCAAATGTTTGGCTTTGAACGTTCCTGATGAAGGTAAATCCAGAAAAGCGCTTCGGACGCATGAAATTATTTAACGTGTTGTTTTTAATTTTTACATCACTGGGTCGATACCCCTGCTGGTGGACTATCAGTCCCCGAGGGTATCATCAGCTCAGTAGTCAGTTCTTCGGTACTGACATGATTTATAACAAACCCTTCTAAATTGTCCGTTAATAAATTTGAAATTATAAAGAAACTATGGTTTCAATTCCCTCAGGCAAAGTTGACCTTAGATGAATTTGGCTATTTGTTTTAGGTGTTTTTAGTCATATAGCTCTTCAAGAGGGACGAAAGATACCAGAGGGACAGTCAAACTCATAGATCGAAAACAAACTGACAACGTTATGGCCAAAAATAAAAAGACAAACAGACAAATAATAGTACAGATGACACAACATAGAAAACTAAAGACTAAGCAACACGAACCCCACCAAAAACTGGGGGTGATCTCAGGTGCTCCGGAAGGGTAAGCAGATCCTGCTCCACATGTGGCACCCGTCGAGTTGCTTATGTTATTACAAATCCGGTAAATAGTCTAATTCGGTAAGTCACATTCGTGAAAGGGAAGGGTATTGTAGTTACGACATAAGGAACATATCCGATATGTTTTATTCAACTGTTTCGGTACTTATACATGTTATACATCCCTCGGATTTCAAATGTTTGGCTTTGAGCGTTCCTGATGAAGGTAAATCCAGAAAAGCGCTTCGGACGCATGGAATCATTTAACGTGTTGTTTTCAATTTTTTACAGTCATTCTGATATAATCATTTGCTGTGTTAACTTCAATGCGTTAATTACCATCATATGCTGTAGATGCCCCTAGGTATGATATACGAAACATGCAGGAAAGGTGTTGCTCGTTGTTGCTGGTCTTTAATCGTTAATCTGGTTTCTTTTTCGTTGTTGATTTGGTCTATTGGACTGACTGATCATATTTTTTTTTAATTCTCAAAATTGTTGTTTTGCATTATGCTTTTTAAATTTGTATTACAAAAGCCAATGACTTTTTTTTCAGCATATGAACGTGTCTGTTGAATAGTTAAAGGAACCAGGCTTATAATTTAATACGCCAGACGCGCGTTTCATCTACATAAGACTCATCAGTGACGCTCAGATCAAAATAGTTAGAAATCTACCTTGTGCATAGCGCTATATCAGAAGATAATTGTCCAAGGAACCAAATATCATTAAGTGTTATTTTAGATATCATATTCTTAACTAGTAAAACAATCAAATAATATGAAATTATCATATATCGTTTATTTCACAAGGCTATCGTATAGAACTCACCCACTGGCTTTATTCTTTTCTGAAATCGAACTGTTATAGGCACGTGGCGAGTGGTTAAGTGCGTGTTTCTAAAATAGAAAAAAAAATATTATCAATCATTGATTTTCAAGAACGAATACATTTTGTTTTCTTGTGTTTGTTTTTTTTTTTTTACGATAGCAGTACGTGTATTACACAGTCACTGGAATAATTGCAAATCAAGATGAAAAATAAAAAAAAAACAAAAACGACACGGAAAAAAAAGTATGCCTGTTTTATTAAATGTCAGAAAATGACTACAAAGGTTATAACCTTCAAAACCCACATTAGCTAACAATTTGAATTTCAATTTAATGATCATACGAGTATTATCGATGAAAGTATGAAAAATAAATCATTAAATTAGCATAAAGAACGAAAACAAAATAAATGTGTAGGAGATTGAATGGACGTTTATTTAACCTGTTTGTCCGTTTAGATTTTGTTTTATGTACATGCAAAGGAAAAGGGAAATCATTAAACCAACTTCGATAGTGGAATTTATTATCATATGTATTAAATCGATCAGGAATCTCACTTTATGATATTTGAACATAACATAATAAATAAGATATAACAAACTCCTTGGTTAATTAAAAAAAGCTCTTCAAGAGGGACGAAAGATACCAGAGGGACAGTCAAACTCATAGATCGAAAACAAACTGACAACGTTATGGCCAAAAATAAAAAGACAAACAGACAAATAATAGTACAGATGACACAACATAGAAAACTAAAGACTAAGCAACACGAACCCCACCAAAAACTGGGGGTGATCTCAGGTGCTCCGGAAGGGTAAGCAGATCCTGCTCCACATGTGGCACCCTTCGAGTTGCTTATGTTATTACAAATCCGGTAAATAGTCTAATTCGGTAAGTCACATTCGTGAAAAGGGAAGGGTATTGTAGTTACGACATAAGGAACATATCCGATATGTTTTATTCAACTGTTTCGGTACTTATACATCCCTCGGATTTCAAATGTTTGGCTTTGAGCGTTCCTGATGAAGGTAAATCCAGAAAAGCGCTTCGGACGCATGGAATCATTTAACGTGTTGTTTTCAATTTTTTACAGTCATTCTGATATAATCATTTGCTGTGTTAACTTCAATGCGTTAATTACCATCATATGCTGTAGATGCCCCTAGGTATGATATACGAAACATGCAGGAAAGGTGTTGCTCGTTGTTGCTGGTCTTTAATCGTTAATCTGGTTTCTTTTTCGTTGTTGATTTGGTCTATTGGACTGACTGATCATTTTTTTTTTTTTAATTCTCAAAATTGTTGTTTTGCATTATGCTTTTTAAATTTGTATTACAAAAGCCAATGACTTTTTTTTCAGCATATGAACGTGTCTGTTGAATAGTTAAAGGAACCAGGCTTATAATTTAATACGCCAGACGCGCGTTTCATCTACATAAGACTCATCAGTGACGCTCAGATCAAAATAGTTAGAAATCTACCTTGTGCATAGCGCTATATCAGAAGATAATTGTCCAAGGAACCAAATATAATTAAGTGTTATTTCAGATATCATATTCTTAACTAGTAAAACAAACAAATAATATGAAATTATCATATATCGTTTATTTCACAAGGCTATCGTATAGAACTCACCCACTGGCTTTATTCTTTTCTGAAATCGAACTGTTATAGGCACGTGGCGAGTGGTTAAGTGCGTGTTTCTAAAATAGAAAAAAAAAATATTATCAATCATTGATTTTCAAGAACGAATACATTTTGTTTTCTTGTGTTTGTCTTTTTTTTTTACGATAGCAGTACGTGTATTACACAGTCACTGGAATAATTGAAAATCAAGATGAAAAATAAAAAAAAAACAAAAACGACACGGAAAAAAAAGTATGCCTGTTTTATTAAATGTCAGAAAATGACTACAAAGGTTATAACCTTCAAAACCCACATTAGCTAGCAATTTGAATTTCAATTTAATGATCATACGAGTATTATCGATGAAAGTATGAAAAATAAATCATTAAATTAGCATAAAGAACGAAAACAAAATAAATGTGTAGGAGATTGAATGGACGTTTATTTAACCTGTTTGTCCGTTTAGATTTTTTAAATGTACATGCAAAGGAAAAGGGAAATCATTAAACCAACTTCGATAGTGGAATTTATTATCATATGTATTAAATCGATCAGGAATCTCACTTTATGATATTTGAACATAACATAATATATAAGATATAACAAACTCCTTGGTTAATTAAAAAAAGCGGGATGTTAAAAAACATAACAAAATCAAACGGTTTACTATATAAACCAACGGTTAAAACGATAATCAACTGTAATATCACTATGTAAAGGTTTTTACTGTACAGGAGCATCCAACTACATAACATTACATTTTTTAACAATGTTCTGTAGATAAGGTAGGAAAATGTGATACAAATAAGTAAAGATAACTAGAGGCTCTAAAGAGCCTGTGTCGCTCACCTTGGTCAATGTGCATATTAAGCAAAGGACACAGATTGGTTCATGACAAAATTGTGTTTTGGTGATGGTGATGTGTTTGTAGATCTTACTTTACTGAACATTCTTGCTGCTTACAATTATCTCTATCTATAATGAACTTGGCCCAGTAGTTACAGTGGAAAATATTTTGTAAAAATTAACAAAAATTTACAAAATTTATGAAAATTGTAAAAATTGACTATAAAGGGCAATAACTCCTTAAGGGGTCATTTGACATTTTTGGTCTTTACTTATTTGTAGATCTTACTTTGCTGTACATTATTGCTGTTTACAGTTTATCTCTATCTATAATAATATTCAAGATAATAACAAAAAGCTGCAAAATTTTCTTAAAATTATCAATTCAGGGGAAGCAACCCAACAACGTGTTGCCTGATTGGTCTGAAAATTGTAGGGCAGATATATCTTGACCTAATGAACAATTTTATTCTAGTCAGATTTGCTCTAAATGCTTTGGTTTCAGAGATATGAGCCAAAAACTGTATTTTACCCATGTACTATTTTTTAGCCATATCGGCCATCTTGGTTTGCGGGCGGGGTCATCGGATACATTTTTTAAACTAGATACCCTAATGATGATTGTGGACAAGTTTGGTAAAATTTGTCTTAGTAGTTTCAGAGGAGAAGATTTTTGTAAAAGATAAAAATTTACGAAAAAATGGTTAAAAATTGACTATAAAGGGCAATAACTCCTTAAGGGGTCAACTGACCATTTTGTTCATTTAACTTATTTGTAGATCTTACTTTGCTGAACATTATTGCTGTTTACAGTTTATCTCTATCTATAATAATATTCAAGATAATAACCAAAAACGGCAAAATTTCTTTAAAATAACCAATTCAGGGGCAGCAACCCAACATCGGGTTGTCCGATTCATCTGAAAATTTCAGGGCAGATAGATCTTGACCTGATTAACAATTTTACGCCAGTCAGATTTGCTCTAAATGCTTTGGTTTCAGAGATATAAGCTAAAATCTACGCTTTACCCCTATGTTTTATTTTTAGCCATGAAGGCCATCTTGGTTGGTTGGCCGGGTCACCGGACACATTTTTTAATCTATAAACCCCAATGATGATTGTGGCCAAGTTTGGTTTAATTTAACCAAGTAGTTTCAGAGGAGAAGATTTTTGTAAAAGTTAACGACGACGGACGACGACGGGCGACGACGACGGACGACGGACGCCAAGTGATGAGAAAAGCTCACTTGGCCCTTTGGGCCAGATGAGCTAAAAAAGAAGATGTAGTATGACTGCCAATGACACAACTCTTTACAAGAGACCAAATGACACATAAATTACAACAGTAGGTTACTTTTTTTCGACTGCAGGTGATGATACTCCTAGATATTGTAAAAAATCGAACTTATGTAATTGCAAGTAATAATTACTCACGATTATCATGATTATGACAGACCACAAACAGAATCATGTGAGTTTAGGTGAGTTTAGGATTGAGAGGAGAGAACAATTTGGCTTTAGGGATATTAGTTACTTTAATCCTAATATGCATGACTATTTTATTAGTTGGTACTGGCTTTGAACTATGTGTAGCTGACAGTAACTGCTAGTACTTTCAGATCTGTATTTACTGTCTTTTTTGTGAAGGGATAATCTCAAGTCTCGTCTACGTTTTTAGAGGAAGGAAAGGGGAGGGTCGACGCATACAATCTAGTTAAACCGCCGCCATATAAAACAAATTTTACATGTTTTCATTGTACTGTCCAAAAGACTAATTTCGAGTCAAATGAAAATATATTCATAGCTATATTCACTTTGTTTAACTTTATTTGATTTCATACCCGGAAGGAGTCTCGCATTGATGATATATGGTGCTTACTACACACTATTTTATTAGTTGGTATTGGCTTTGCACTATGTGTAGCTGACAGTAACTGCTAGTACTTTCAGATCTGTATTTACTGTCTTTTTTGTGAGGGGATATTCTCAAGTCTAGTCTAAGTTTCTACGTATACAATCTAGTTTAACCGCCGCCATATAAAACAAATGTTACATGTTTTCATTGTACTGTCCAAAAGACCAATTTTGAGTCAAGTGAAAATATATTTATAGTTATATTCACTTTGTTTAACTTTATTTGATTTCATACCCGGAAGAAGTCTCGCATTGATGAGATATGGTGCTTACTACACAGCGCCAAGTACCATTTAATTTACAACACTCATCACAGATGAGCGTATCTGAACCAGTGCACAACCCCTCGCAGTAGTAAGAAAAAAGACCATCTCTTTTACAAACTTCACCTAAAGAAAAATGAAGCACAAATAAAAATAAATGAAATTGACTATCAAATTTTTAAATTGATTGTAACGTGACGATTCACCAATATCCATGTAAGAAAATTATAGTTAAATAATAGACACTTAGAGAAATATGATTGATTAATTTGTGTTTGCCTTACGCCATTTCAGTGTAAAAAGGATATATATTGCAGCAAACGTTACTTAGAATATCTAAACAAGACGCATTTTGTTGTTATCCAGTCGTTTGATGTGTTTGTTTATTTGATTTTGCCATTTGATTGGGACCTTTCCTTTTTGAATGTTCAGTATTTTTGTGATTTTACTTTTTGTAAAATAAGACATTTATATGTCATGATACAAAAATATACATAAAAACCTAAAATGACGCTTATGTTGTTGATGTTATTAAACTGTTCGCTTCGTTAAGTAAACTTTGTATTAAAACACTTTAATATAGATTTTTGTTAAACCCTGGTTATAGCCAACAATTATTTCTGAAACTCATTTTGATTTCTAAAGTTATTAAAATATACCTACATTTAAGTCCATGACATAAGGCACAAATTAAGAAACATCCAAAGATTAATTTGTATTGCATCATTGTGTAAGTGTTTTGTAATTGTGATCTTCGTGTTAATCTACTGTGATTCGAAACGTGACAAATACTGAAATTGGATATCAAAATTGACGTGTTCATTGACTTCCTGTAAAAAAGTACTCAAGCACTGCGTCAAAGTTTTTACGTTTTTTTTTTTTTAATGTTTAGCATAACAGTTTTTTCACACAAAATATATACTAGGCTTATAGTGGTGTTATTTGTATCTCAACTTTAATATATAAAATAATCAAATAAATAGATGTTTTTTTGTTAAAATGATCCGTATTTCTTTTTTTTTTTTTTTTGTGTTTTTTTTTTTACCCATTTTTGTCGTATTTATAATACCTTTGATTTTTCTCCTCTTTCGTGCTTTGCAAACAACTATCAGAGAACAAAATAAAACACGTTTTTTGCCTTTTAAAGCTTGCTTTTCTGTGTGGGCCAAGGGTTCATGTTGATGACCGTACGTTGACCTATAATGGTATACTTTTATAAAAGAGGGACGAAAGATACCAGAGGGACAGTCAAACTCATAGATCGAAAACATACCGACAACGCCATTTCTAAAAAAAGGAAAAAGGCAAACAGACAAATATAAGTACATAACACACAACATAGAAAACTAAGGACTTAAGTAACACGAACCCCACCAAAAACTGGGGGTGATCTTAGGTGCTCCGGAAGGGTAAACAGATCCTGCTCCACATGTGGCACCCGTCTTGTTGCTCATGCTATTACAGACCCGGAAAATAGTCTTATGCGGTAGGTCACATTCGTGAAAAGGGAACGGGATTGTAGTTACGACATGTGGAACATATCTGCTATCATCTCTGAAACGGATATTCCATAACTGTCAACCAACTCGTGATGGCGTTCGTAAAATTTACAAAGGGATGATTTCCACTTCACCATTTGTTACTCATGGTTTAATAGCTTCCTTGTGAGCAGCAACCCTTTATCAAGGAAATCATGATAGGAAATACAACCCCGGAAATATCGTATCAATTGGGAGATATATACTTCATATGCAGGTGCTGGTGGAATGTTGCTACACAGAAATTGAAAGTTGACAATTGGAAAGCTGAAATCATCTCTTTTGTCGTACAGTTTTGTTTTCAACCAACCCTCATTGTCAATTTCTAATTGTAAGTCAAGATTACCAATCGAGACATGGATGGAGAGTTGTCTCATTGGCAATCATACCCCATCTTCTTATATCTATTGTAATAAAAATATATATCATCATTAGTAGCATTTTAAACAAAGCAAACATTAATCATCGTTTTGTAAATTGTAGATAAAAATCTAAACTAGCCGAACTTCGGTATTCC